TTCAAAGTAGAACTTCCTGACAATGTATAACCAAATGTCTGGAACTGTCCTGGTTTGGGGTTTTTGCAAGGGGAACAATATAAGACAGGACGCATTTTATAATGAATCACTCAAGAATCATATACAAGGGCAGGAAATCTGTCCACACACATGAACACTAAAGAATCCAGCTGAGGGCCTGGATCTTAATAATTTGCATGAGCCCAGATGAAAATCTAGAGCTCATAACAATGCCTCCCACAAGTCCAACTGGAGGCCTGGAGTCCACAGTGAAGTCTCATGCAGGTTCGCTTCATGCATCTGTGCTGGAAAGGCCCAAAGGTCAGTGGTGGAAGCTAGGAAGTCTGTGCCAGTGGGATGAAGGATCTGTGCCAGTAGGCTTAGCGATCTGAACTGAAGCCAGCAAACAACAGTCAGGGTAAGCACCAGAGCTCCCCCAGAAGCACCACAGCCATCCTCAGCAGCAGTGAGGGCCTGAGCTCCTCCAGCGATGAGGAAAGCCAAGTTCCCATCAGGAAAGCCAATAAGACAAGCCATGAGGCTGAGCAGTGCACCGTCTTCCCCTTCAGAGTTAGGAAGTGATGCCCAAGATGAGGAGCAGAGCTCCTCCATAGTTTATCGAGAAAGCCAGCAAAACAAGGTCCTCCAGCAGAACAGCCCAAGAGAACTAGTAACGTCCAGCCACTTCTCCAAACAGCATCCCTAGCAGTGTTCAGCAGCTTCTCCTGTTCTGCCCTTTATGCTGCTGGCAACAACCCTCAGGCGGGCCTCCCGCACCCAGCACTACGCTAGTTTAATCCACTACAGGAGCCAATTATAGAACATCCTGCTATCTGCCTTTTTTACTTTTTTTTTTTTTTTTTTTGTGGAGGGCTCATCCTGCCCTGGGGGCGGGGCTGGTGCAGCATGTGGTACAGGGTATCAAACTGCAGTCCCTGTGCTTGCCTAAGCTTGCCTAAGCAGGCACTTTAGTCCAATGAGCTCTCTCACCAGCCCCTGCCTTTTTTTTTTTTTTTACTTCTTTCTAACAGTCAGTATAAGTGACTATAAAACCCCAAGATGGGACTGGTGATGTGGACTTCATTGTCCCCCGGCACATTAATATAATAATAAAAATAAAAGATGTCTGCCTTCCAAAGTTCCTCGGAAGTGTGTCTTCTACCTGCTTTTGTAACAAATGAACCTACAAAAATCAAAACCATACAAACTGTTTTTGTTGACCACAATAGAATCAACTGAGGAATTAACAACTCAAAGGTATCTGCAAGATCCCCATATATTGAGAAACTGGGTGACAACCCATTTCTGAGTAAGGGATCAAAGAGGATATTTAAGCCCTATCATTTCTAAGAAATAGAAATCCAATAGGAAAGTATGGGCTAAAATTACTTAGAGGAAATGAAATCTTAACTAGAAACATAGAACTCAAGTCAACCAGGAGGCAACGCAACTTTGCCCTTCTGTCCCGTCACACTTCCCCACATCTGCTAAACCCAGACCGGTGTGTGCAGAACCCCAAACACTCCCAGGTGCAGACTGAGTCCTTGACGCATGACCCAGGTGTACCATTGCTGGAGGCAACATACTTCCACTTTAAATTTTCTCATTCCTAATTATGTAATTTTTCCATCACAGGTCTTTTTTGACCTGCCAGATATTTAACAAGGAAACCAGGAAAAACTTCCAACTGCATGAAAATGAACACATGGCTCACATAGGGAGTGGACACAACTCTAGCCAGCTTCAGGGAAGATGTCTATGGTTTCTGCAGTAGAAAAGAAGGAAGTTCCCAAGATGAGAAAAGACCTAAATTTCCACCTTCCAAAATTAGACAAACAACAAATAAAACTCAGAGTAAGCAAAATAAAGGGAATAATACAAATAAGTGAATAACTGAAATTTAAAAAAAAAAGCAGGGGCTGGTGAGATGGCTCAGTGGTCTAAAGCACCTACTTAGAACAAGCTAAGCTAAGCAAAAGCACAGAGACTGCGGTTCAATCCCCAGCACCACATGCCAGCCAGCCCCGCCCCCTGGTGGGCTGAACTGGCCACACACACACTAAATAAATAAATAAAGTTATAATTAAAAAAAAAAAAGCAAAATCCTAGTGAGACTCCACTAACCTCAAAGACGGTTCTTTCAGACTGTCCAGGAGGACACACTGTGGCAGGCCACCCAGGCTTGCTTGTCCATGATAGGACCAGAAGGAGGACAAGCCAGCTCCAGCTGTTTGGGTAGCCACACCTGCACCTTTTGCAAGAGGGAAACCCACGCTACCTGCCAAGGAATACAGGAGTCACATTCCTTCCTAGTGGTAGCCAGCCAGGCCTGACAGAGCTATGAGAAACACAGATGTTTCTGGCAGGCTGGGGGAGGTCTGGTGTCCTTTCTCAGAATATGCTGTTGGCTATTGTTGTAAAATTCCCCTGAAAATTTGCTCTTCTCAAAATGTACTTGGCTATTTCTAGCAATTCTACTAAGGCAGAGAGAAAACTGCCTGAGTCCCAAGGAGCCGACTCAGAGCCCAGCACCTCACTCCTGGTCACCACCTCTCACCACCACCTCCCCCTCATCACTTACCAGGAGGCTTTGGACTTGGGTGGGACAGTGGGCTCCTGTCCTTCATGGGGCCAGTAGCCAGAGTGGGGGCTGTGGGTCCTGTTGGCCAAGGCTTTGCCTGTCCCCATTCACATGGCTCCCATCTTTGTAGATCCCACTGAGGACTGTGATGGGAGGAGGATCTTAGATAGGGTTGAAGTCAGGTTGGGGGTAGGACCCAAGGGACTGCCAGGAGGCCACACTATGGTCAGAGTTAGACCCTGGAGGTGATAGGTCAGAGGCTGGACCTGGTTGGGAGCTGCTTCACCCTTGGGTTTGCACTGAGGTCTGGTAGGGTCACATGGGGACCCTGGGACCATAGAGGCCACAACCCCCCCAGCATGTTGCCAGCTGCTCTTCTTACTGGTTACCTCCCTTCAAAGCCCTCCAGACCCCCAAGATCAAGTCCTCTAACTCCACTGTCTCTTGCTCAGTGATCATACTTGTGGATCACTCCCCATGGCCACGTGAGATTGGGCTGGCATGGGGCCCTGCTCAGCCAGGTCCTATACCAGGTGGTTTTCCCAAACTCTCTTGTCCCAAAGGGGCAGGTAGAGGGGGACAAGGGGAGCCTCGCTCTGGAAAGGCACCTTAGGGAAAACACAGAGCCACTCTGGATATGTCATGGCAGAGGACTGAGGGAATGTGGCTTCTACCATGGCAATGTGGGTAGGGTGCTAGCCATATTAGGTGAGAACCAAGGACACAGGTAGGAAACTGAGGCCCTAGGAAGTGGAGCACCTGGCTCGAAGTCACTCAGTGAGGACCAGGAGTGACTAGCACCAGAATTGGAGGTAGGTCCTGGAGAAGGGGGTTTATACGGCAGAGGCAGTGGGATCACTATTGAAGATGGGCATGGGAGTTCCAAGCCAGGCCTGGGCCTCAAGGGAGGCAGCAGACTGGTAGTCAGCAGCCAGGGCTCCTCTGAGTCACATTCTGCTTCTCACTGCCTCATCAGGGTCCTCCATAGAGCTGGGGGGAGGGCAAGGATGCTTCTTTCAGGGCACAGGACCCCACTGGGCCGCCACCAGCTTCCCTGCCACTGTGCTGGGCCAGGGCTGCCCACAGCAGGGTAACTAGGCCGGGCTTGCCAGGGTGACAGCCTGCTGTGGGTCAGCACCCTGGATGCCCCCCATGCATCCTGGGAGGGTCCTTGCTATTGGCTGGCCTGCTCCCCAGGAGTAGGAGTGAAAGGGCTGCCCGCGCGGGCATCACCGGGTACCTTCTCTCTTCCTTGGCCTCACAGCCTCATACTTGAAAAGATGCTCAAACCCAGGCAGCAGGAAGGAACTCAGGCAGGATGCCCAGAGCCCTGGCAGGGAGCAGGAGCTCAGGCAGCAGGCTGGCGGCCCAGCTTCCTGCAGCCCAGTGCTATTCTTAGACCCTTCCCTGCCTCTGAGCCTTCTGGCCAGTCCTCATGCTGAAGTACACCCATCTAACTCCCTTTGGGTTGTTAGAGTAAACCGAGGCACAGTCAGGACCACCCACTTAGCTGCAGCTGGAGCAATAAGCAAAGTGTGGCCCCAAGAGCCAGACTTGGAGTAGGTTGATGAGGGTGTTTGGCTGGGGGAGGGATATGGCAGGGAAGAGTAGATTTTTGGTGTGAGCCTCTGGGAGCTGGGAGTCTCGGTGGCACCCACGTGTTTCAGGAGCAGCTGCATAAGGCGTTTGCTTGTGTGCCACCTTTTGCAGGCCCTGGCTCCTGTTATGTCTTGGCTCTGCAGCTGTGGTCAGCAGCTCTGTTCAAGGAGATTTTATTTTATTTATTTTTAATTTTTTATGTCTTTGGTACAGGGTCTCACTACGCAGCTCAGACTCATAATGATCCTCCTCCCCTGCCTCCCCAGGGATTACAGGTGTGCACTATCACACCTGGGGTTGGGGCCAGCATGGCATGCAGTACCAGGGATCAAACTCTGGTTCCTGTCCTTGCCAGGCAGGCAGTTAGACTGCGGAGCTACCTCCCCGGCCCTCAGGGAGATTTTCTTCTCTGTCCAGGCAGGGTCTGACGTGGGTGAGTTCTGGCTGAGGGACTGCTGGGCTTCTCAGGATGAGGTCAGCCAGCGTGGGGGGACTTCCCTGGGGCTAGGGCTGTGGGGAACCTGTGGCACCGGTATATCTGTTGGCCTGGGCCCTATGTGCCATGCATGGGCCAGGCCACATCCCTGCTCCAGCTCTGGTTAGGCTTCCCCGGGAGCATCCCACTCCTCTGGGGCTGCAGGTGAGGTATGGGCTGAGCGAGGAGACTTCCCTCTGTCAGGGTGGGGATGGCGCGTACAGTCAAGAGCAGCCCAGTGCTACCCTGTCAAGACTGACAAGTCATGGGAAATGGGGTCACCTGCCCCAGTTGCTATATTCCACAACTACACTGGTTTAAATCATTTATTTATACACAGAGATTTGAATAGAAAAATAAGTAACAAAAGTTGAAAATCAGGAAGGGGAGCTGTCTGTTCTTTGTCTGCCTTGTTGCCTGGCTGGCCACCTCCTCTTGTCCTGCACCCACCAGGACTGGGCTGCAGCCTGCAGGGTGTCCCTTGCCTCAGGAATTAGGCACTCCCACATGGCCAGACAAGGGGCTGTAGTAACTCCAGAAATGAAAGGGAAGGGGGTTACAGGCGCGGGCCCAGGAGAAGGGCAAGCAACCCGAGGGCCAGCAGCAGGCGCGAGGTGGCGCTGCTGAGCAGAGTGGCGGCAGGCGCGGCGCTGAACAGCCTCTCGTTGCACAGGTCTTCCCGGCAGCACTGCGTTCTCCTGGTGCCGGTGCTGCTGCTGACCTGGCCCTGCTGGCTGTCGGAAGTCGTGCACGAAACCTCACAGCTCTTCTCCACCAGGTTCCCTGCTAGAGATTCCACTGCGCGTGGGGGGAGGGGAGCGTCAGGCTGCGCATCCCAGCTCACACCCACGCAGCCCCAGTCCCCCTCCTGCCGGCCCCTCTGGGCACAATCTCCATTCTGGCGACACCGTGACTGGGATCACGCCTACCATGGTCCTCCCACCACTTACCTGAAATCACAGTCTTGCAGTAGTGGTAACCGCTAGGGCACTGCTGAACTTTCTTGCAGTTGTTGCTGTCGCTGCACACGTGACAGCGGAGTGTGTAGGCTGTGGCAGTGGGATGGGGATAAGGATCTCAGCAAGGCCTGTGTCCTTTGCCCGTCGGAACCCACTCAGTACAGAGCCTCTGCCACCCTGGCAGGCAGCCCCCACACGGCCCCAGGAAACCAGAGCCTATTTCCTGTGCACAGCTCAGGAAGGATGTGCTGGGAGCCTTGAGCGCCTGGAGGACCATGTCTGGGCAGGGCAGGGGGTGGGTGTATCTCTGTGGAAAACTTTCTTCTAGGTCCTCAGAGATCCCTGGCACTATGCTAAGAACGATGGTGGAGCAGGCTACTACCCCCATCGGCCACACTCCAAACTGCCCCGGAGCGGCTCAGGGAGTTGTCTGGGAGGGTAGGGGCTGGGGAAGGGCTAGCGGTAGGCACTGGGTGGCTTTGGTGAGGCATGTCACACTAACTCCGGGATCTGCCCTGTCACAGTTGCTGCGATGCTATGATTCTTAGATTCTCTGATTCTGAAATATTTTAAATCTGCGATTTACAGAGACACAGACATGGGTTCATTTTGTTTTAAGAGTCCTGAAGGGCAAACTTTCACATAGCAGGAGTCTTAGAGCCCCCCATGCATCCTGGACCTGGTTGGGAGCTGCTGCACCCTTGGGTTTGCACTGAGGTCTGGTAGCTCCAGGCTTGTAGCATTTGGTGACCACCTGTCGGGCACAGAGGCCAAAACCTGCCCACCGTTCCAGGCCCCAGACCCATCCTCTTACCTGGGCTCAGGGCCACAGTCAGGGTGGCAAGGAGCAGCAGGAGTGTCTTCATCCTCAGTGTTATTGGGGAACAGTGGGGGCCTCTCCTCTCCTCGAGCCTTATAGCTGGGACGGGCTCCAGCTGGTGAGGGTGGAAGCCAGCCAGTGATACAATAGGTCCTGCCTCGCTGTGCACACCCAGGCAGGGTGTGTCCTCCGCCCTGTGGGGCCCAGCCAGGCCAGGCTACAGGTGGGGGCTCCTGGCCAAGCAGCTCTCAGCTACTGCTGGGGCTCCCTCTCTTCCATCTTTTCACTGGTGCTCTGGGTCTCTGTCAATTCTCTTGCTGTCTGTGCCTATCTCTGACCTTCCATGCCCTGTCTTGTGCCTGTGTCCTGTGTCCTCTCCCTTGTGTCTCAGTCTACACTGGAGGCCCTAGGGGACCCCTTGGTGGGGAAGGCAGGAACAAGAGGCATGGGTCCTGCCTTCCTAGGCTCTGGGCTGCTGGGTGCTGCACTTGCCTAGCGGATCCTGGATTGAAGAACCCCAGGGGTAGCTGTAGGAGGGTCTATGGCAGACAGAGAAGGGGCAAGGGCAGGGAGGCAGGAGTTCATGTGGGTGGGGGCCAGGTGGGGTGTGATCCCCGGGCTGTGGGACACTGGCCATGGTAGGGTCTGTGGAGCAGGCCAGGGCTGTGGACATGAAGGCTGGGCCGCACATCAGGGAGGCAGAAGCATTTTTCCTCATCTCATCTGCCCCCAGCCTTCCTCCGGCCTCTGGGGCACCAGAACCCCTTTCCTCGGGGGGTGGGGGATGGGAGGCTGCCTCTCCAATGCTCTCAGGCGTGCCCTTCCCCAGAAGCAGTATCTGAGCATCTCAGTCATGCTACCTCTTAAGGTCCCTTTATCTCTGTGGTGGTCCCCAAAGCTGAGGGCGCCTCGGAGTGGGGTTCCAACCCCCAAAGTCCCAGGGCCCCTGTTGGATGTGATCTCTGGGGGTGAGCTGGAGCCCCATCTACATGCCCTTTGCCCTCAGAAGAGGTCTTCATGTCCCCTGTGACCTAGGTCTCTGAGCACCCTCCTAACTGAGATAGGAGCTAGGGTGTGGCAAAACTGGCTGGAAAAATGAGACCAGTCAGTTACAAGATTCCAGGACAAAAGGCAAAACCAAAAATAAACAAATGAACAAAATCCCCAGAACAGGGCCAAATGATTCCCAGGGCTCCACTGTAAAGCTTTTTGTGGGTTCCCACAAGATGCGGGCTGCATACAGTCCACAGACACTGCCGGAGCCCACTATAGCGACTCTTCATGGTAGTCCACCCTGTGTCTTCATGACCAGGTGTCCTTTCATTTTAGTTTTTGTCCCTTTTTGTTCAGCCCAAGTTCACTCTGCAGAGGCAGCTTGTCTCTTACCCCTTTGCCCTTCACTTTTCAAACACACTTTTGGCACAGTTTTTGGCTTGTCTAATTCTTTGCTCAAGACAAGAAGGATCTGGGATAAATTCAGCTGGCTAGCTACTTCTAAAGAAACTACCCTATTACTTAACTAAAGCAGGGGCTGCCCTCTGTGCTGGCACCATGTGCCTGGGTTGGGTCAGGGGACCATCAAGAGCCTCGTTCCACCTGGGTTCTTGGAGGCAAGCTGAGTGTTGGGCACAGAGAGAGTGCATGCCAGGGCCTGTCATAGTCTCTCACATGGCAGCTGATGGACATGAGCCAACAAAGGGCAGATCGGTCAGGGCCTGCAGCAGAAAGGGTGGCCAGGCTGAGCCTCTTGGAAGCCCATGGGTTCTTGGTAAGGCCAAGATTAAGCTGAGGAATTAAGCTGTGGTTACAGCAAGGGTCAGAGTGCTGCCAGGACATGGCCAAATGGCTCTCTGTGAATCAGTTTCTAGACCTGGCAGCATCTGCCTAAAGGCTAAGGGGTCATTGGTGTTGACCCAGGACCTTGGAGGGTTCAGGTAGAGCCCCAGGGGCAACCTCTGTGCCCAAAGTATGGGGGGGTACATGGGTGGTTGTCAGGGGATGACTCAGAGGCCTTGGGAAGGCAGAACTTGGGGTTTGGTGATAGGGTGGTGACAGTAGAGGATAGCAGGTAGGGAAGTTGACTCAGCAGGGAATGTCCCAGAAAAACAGGTTTGAAATTCTTGCTGTGTGTGGCAAAGTTGGAGGGACCAGGAATACGGGGCTCCCAGGAGCGGAGGGCTGGGGCTGGGCTGCTCAGCAGTGGCCCTTGGGCTGCCACACATGGAACTGGATGAAGAGCCCACACCTGTCTTCCGGGGCATTAGGCCAAATGACAGACATGTGTCCTGGAAGCTGGAGTAGCAGGTGTCCCCATAAAGGCCTTTGTCCCTGCCGGGACTGCTGATAAAACATAAGCTGATTACCTAGTCATTTCCAAATGGAAACATGGGATGGTCCTAGAGGCAGTTTGCTACCGGGAGAAAGTGCTTGGTTCTGGTGGTAGAGGATTGGGAACTGCGAAGTAGGGTAGTCAAGGAAGTCTAGAGGTGATGACCAGGCTGGGGCTTTGGTGTTAGATCATGTGGAATGGACTGAGGAGCCATCGTGGTCTCCTGGAAACAACCCCGGAGTGGAGCTGAAGAACTTGAGCAATCTCAGGCCTTCTTCCTCTGTCCCTTCCTTCTATGGACACACAGTGTCTTTCAGAGCCTGGCCCTTCTGGACCCTGTCTTCCGGCCCAACAATCAGGGCACCAGCCAAGCCTGACAGCCAGGCCCTCTCACTCTGTCTCTCTTCCAGCAAGGTCAGATGAGTACTCTGTGAGTCAGCCAGGCACGAGGCAGCATTTGCCTCTGGGGACTCTATCTTCTTCAGTTGCACTCCTGCACACAAAGGTAGGGCCTCGGATAACAGAGACAGCCAGGACTTGCTCATCACCACCCAGCACCTAGAGCTTATCTGGGCCTGGCCTCTGGGCCTGAGGCTTTCCTCTACAGCCTCTCTCCTGGAGCAGGAATCACCCATCTACACACAGCCACGGCTCTAGACAGTCTTGCTCACTGCTTCCTGGAGGCTAGCATGGCCCAGCCACATCTGGGTCATCTTCTGGGATCCTGACTAACCTTTGCCTTGCTAGACTGGGCTTTTGGGTACAGTTAGTTTCCATGGGCTGGACAAGGGCCAGGGCTCAGGGCCAGCTCTGCCTCTCTGTGCAGGCCCTCATCCTCAGGGTTGCAAATCCAAGGAGTAGCTAAGTAGATGGAGCAGAGTCTGAGAAGCTGTGCCCTGCCTTATGGGGCAGCCTTCTCCTAGAAAACATTGGACCAGTTCTCATGTTTGGCCAGTGCAGCCCATAAGTACGAGCATCCAGGGGTCTGGGCAAAGATTACCTACTGCCAAAGTCTAGATGATAAGGGAAATACCTTTAGTGTGGGACCATGAAATGGGGGAGAGAGGCTGTGTGGGGCTTTGGAGTCATGGCAAGAACAACTGTGGGCCCTCAGGCCCACGTCTTCAGGCTCTTAGGGCTCGCTGAACCCCTCCTTTTTCTATTTAGCCATCCATTATCTATCCATTAATTTATTTATCATTCATCTGCTCATCCATCTTTCTGTCATCCATTCACTACCTAGTATCCATCCACCTGTCTATCTATAACCCACATGTCGTCCATCTACTCATTCATCATTCACTCATTCATTATCCATCTACACATCCCTCTTGTCATTATGCATCCATCCATTCACTACCCACCCATACATTTGTCTAACCTCTATCCCTTGCCTGCTCATATATTCATTAATCCACCTATCCATCATCTATCCATTCATTATCCATCTGTCATCAATATGCCCATTTATCTATCATCTACCCTTTATCTACTCATTCATTCATGCAGTTATTTATCATCCATCATTAACTCATCCATTTACCCATTTTCCACCTATCCATCATCTAACCATTTGTGTATTTATCCATCTACTTATCCATCCATCCATGCATCCATCCATTCATCCACGCCTCCATCCATCCAGTCACATATTCATCATCTGTCCATTGTTTATCCATCCATCAATCTACTCATCTGACCATCCATCCATTTATCCATTCATCCCACAGTTTTCAGAGTGCCATCAAGGTACCCTGGATAACAGGAATATGGACGTGAACAAGGCCTGTTCCAGTGCTCTCAGAGGTCACACTTTTCAGGGCACCATCCACAAAAATGACAAAATGCATTCTTCAGTATTAAGTCTGTACAAGGCTACAAAGACAGACCAGGACACGGGGATGGAAGGTTAGACTGGGTGGCTCAGGAGGAACAAACATGTCAAACCCTGTTGACAGACTGGGAGTGTCATGGATGAAATTCACACTGCTGTACAAGATGAAATTTCCCTTAGTCACATGAAAAAAGCCCAGGATCCGGATTACATCAAGTCCCCTCAGGGACATCTGTTTCCTGCGGGTCCCACCCTCTTACACTCTCCTATCCTCAGGAGTTCCCATGCCACCCACTGTTGGGAAAGACTCACGGGCACCGGCTGCAAACAAAGACACATGGATGCTTAATGCAAGCAAAGAGAGGGCTCGAGCAAAAAGGCTGCTGCCCCACCTTCGGTCTTTACTTTTATATATCTTGAGTCTCAGCTTTCAGGTTACTTTAGGTGAATATAACAATATCCTATCATATGTGTCCAAGATTAATGTTTAGGCTGTACTATACGTGAGAACCTGCTAGGCATCTGGGAGCAAGGACATAAAAACAGGGTGTCCCTGAGTCCCCAGTGTTTTTGGTTATGCTTTTGGTTACCCAACTGTTGCTGCCCTGTTTTCTTTTTCCTTCTCCCATTTGCCCTGCAGGTTATTTAGCACATCTTTATATTAACTCTTTCTTATCCCAACAACCCACATTATTTCCCTGAGCGTTTGCGCAGACCATTTCTCTGGAGGAGTCTCAACAGTGTTAGGAATGTGGAGAGCTTCAGCAGGTCCCAGGAAAGGACCACTTGGTGGTCTACAGTGGCTTGGTCCCTCCAGGGCCTATCCCCAGGCAGGGACTACCACTGGCAGGCTCTGCCTTTGTGAAGGTGCACAGACTTTAACATGCTACTCTCTGCTCTGCTCCCTCCCTCCATCTCCTTTCCCATTCACAGATCTGCCCTTGGTCAGAGAAAGACCTCAGAGGAAGATGTCTGCATGGGTGTGCAGGTGTAGGTCACACTTCAGAAGGCGCTAAGTAGTGAGAAGTTATCAGCTTATCTGCTTACTTGGTAGGTGGGAGGAGACTTTGGAAGGACACTATTGATCCCAGTCCTAAAGACAGAAGGGAGCACAGCAGGCCCACTGCCTGCCCCTTGGCGTGTCCGCTGTGAGCCCTGTGCCTCCCAGAGCAGTTGAGTTGTCCACAAGGAGTATGATGAAGCTGAGGGCCAAGATCGTCCTTCAGCTTCAGACGGCTTTTGCATTTGAGGCTGGAGCTGGCTGGCTTGGCCTGGCAGCCAGGAGGACCCTGGTTTGGTGCTCAGTCCAGGGCAGAGATGAGGGTGTTGATCCAGGAATTTGTGTAGGATGCAAATCATCTCTGGGTGTGGGTACAGCCCCAGGGAAGAAAGAAGGTTCCCAAGTAGGGCCCTGCCAGGGAGTTTATTACCCTAAGCCTGGGCATGAGAGTGGAAAGGTATGGGATCTGCACCCAGAGTTATATAAGAGGGGTATGGGTGGGTGCTTGGGGGCAGAGACACTGGTGCCCAGGAGAGAGGAGCATCCCAGGCTGCGAACCCAGGCTGACAAGCTGCTGGCAGGCAGAGCCCTGACAGAGCCCCACTTGCATGTAGAACTCTGCCCTGGTCCTCACTGGGGGCCTAACCACAAGGCTGGCCCTAAGGTTCTGGCATTGCTGAACTTTGTATGTTAGCCCAGCACCGTTAAGCTCTGGCTGCCTCCTCCCCATCCAGCTGTCACTGTGGCACTCAGCAGTTACTGCCCCAACCTGTCGTGCCCTGCCCCCATGTGCCTAAACCACTTCTAAACAGACCTCAGCAAAGGGGTGTGTGTGTGGCCTGCAGACCTTTCCCTGGCGCCCCTCTTCCTTTGTTTTTCATCCAGCCCCAGCCCCATCTTCCACTGGCTCAGGGCTGTGACTTCTTTCCCTGGCCCCACCAGCTCTGCTCTGTCTTGCACTCCTTTTCCAGAAGGAAGATCCCAGCTCTGGACTTGGCTGGTTAGAATCCCTCCCCTGCTGACCAAGCACTCTTGGGGCCAAACCTTATCTCTTCATCTTGCCAGGACTCCTGCCTGGGCCTACTATGCCCTCCTCCTCACAGGGCTATGCCCTGTGGCTACCTCCCACTCACAAGGGGCCATGGTCCCTCAGCTTCCAAGGTGTGATCTCCTCAGTCTCTGGAGGTTCTTTCTTTTTTGAGGCCTTTGTCTATACCATGTTTGCTCTTGGAGACCCTGAATCTCAGCCAGATGTCCCCCTGGACTGTCTCTCCAGCCATTTGTAGTGTGGGCCACCATGGGTCTGCTGATTTGCTTGTCCTGGTCACCTCTGCTGCCATAAAGGCAGGGAGAGTGCCTGGTGTTATTCAGAAGCACCCTGAGTACTGGTGTGCGAGGCATGTGCATGTGACTTCGTGCCTGTGGGCAGCTGTGAGGAGTGCAGAGAGCCCAGGCTCCATATACCACTTTGCCAGCCCTCTCTAAGGTGCCGGCTGCCCATCTCAGAAGTGCAGGGGCTTGTTTTCCTGAGGATGAGGGTGCTCCTCCAGCAGAGTAGATTTGCAGCTTTATTCTTCGCTCAGGAGAACCTAGCTTCTGGAACTTTCGGAGAGGTAGAACTGTCCTCCATGTTCAATGAGATTGGACACCCTTGCTCCAATGCCTGGTTTTACACCCCAAAGTGAGCTGTCTCACCCCACAGCAGGCAGCCAAGGGACCATTTAAAAGGCTTAGGTCACAGTGGGAAGTTCTGGTAGGGTCCCTGGCTGGAGGGCTCAGTCAGCATAGGAAAGCCTGGGAGGCAGTTCTGTGATGGGTTGGAGGCAGTGGCCAGCTGGTGGGTGGAAAACACGGCAGAAGGATGGAGACCACTATGAAGCCACTCGGAGCCGGATTTAATATTAACCAACTGGCTTCTCATGTCTAGGTGTATTTGCCAAGACTTAGGCCCTTATACCCTCTGGAGAAGGGCAGAGGACTTGTAAGTGAACCTCTATGAGTCACTGGGCCCTGTTGAGGCCTGTGTTGGCCTGGGAAGCCGGGAACCTCAGAGGACAAGCAAGATAAGGCCACAGTCAAGGATGCTTGGCTCCAACCCAACTAACCGAAAGGAGACCGCAGCTGCAGACTTCTCACTCCCGTGGTGCTTCCTGAAGATAACACTGTTCTCCTCAACTAGCATCATGTGTTACTTGGAGGAGCCCTTGAAAGGAATCCCAGGTTCTTCCCAGATTCCTGCACTTTCTTCAATATCCCCCTCCTTTGTTTGAAAAGGTAAAAAAATAGGGGGCTGCCTTGGGAAGTTCTAGGTCCCAAACCCCAGAAAATGTCTGTGAGAGGGTTAGAATCCTCTGGAACCCTAAAATCAGGCTACTTAAACCTTCATGAGCCACTCACTTGGGAGGCTGCACACCTGACCAGTCCACAGTAACTAAGGGTGTTCTTAATCTGAGAGCAAAAGATGGAATAAATGATTAAACATAAGAAATAAATGGGCAAGTAGATAGATGAATGGATTGATGGGTGGGTGAATGGATGGATGGATGGATGGATACATAAAAGAGAGTTGGATGAGTGGGTGGGTGGGTGGATAGATGGAGGGAGAACTGGGGTAGCTACAAGAATACACAGAGCTTGAGGAATCCAATGCCCCAAACTCCCAGCCTTGTCATTTAGGCCGGGCACAAGAGGCCAAGGGGCCAGATTGATACAGGATACATGTGGGATTGCTTCAGGGATGATGGAAATTAAAACTGAGGCAACAGGCAAGGGTATCTGGAAATAATTTGCACCAAGCCAACAGCTGCAATAACTACAGTTTCAACTTCAACTCCACAATATTTCCCTTGACCAAAAACACATCAGGTCGTTTTCCAGTTCAAAGCATTCAACAAATGGTAGCAAGGCAGAGCCACCAGAAACGGACACCCGATATCTGTGACAAATATGGTAAAGCTATATTAGCTGGTGGAGCCACGTTCTGTATTGCTGTGTGGACCTACACAGCGACACAGATTGGAACAGAATGGAGCCTTTCCCTGTTGGCAGAGTTACCCCCAAGGAATGGAGAGATCAGGAATCATGCCAGCTGATATGATACAGCTACATTATTTCTCAATGAAATCATAACTGATGTCAAGTAAAAGTACAGTGTATCTGTTAAAATATGGCCTATTGAAGAATAAGGTACAATTGAAACCTTCAAAAAAAAAAAAACCTGAGACAATAGTAGAAATTTATAGCCAGAAGCTTTAATTGAAAAAGAAGAAAGGGAAGAGACTTCAGGTTGAAGAGCTTGAAGGGACAACAGGAGAGTGCAGTTCTGAATGAGATCAGATTGGCCTATTAACCAAAAGGAAAAAAAAAAGGAACTAGCTTTCAAAGGCCTTGCTGGGCTGAACTAGATTTGGCAGTTTCCACTGGGTCATGACTGTGGCATTTCTTGAGACTTCCTCCTTGTATTTTAGGGGCTCTCCTCTTGGCATAAGATGTGGGTTAACAGCCAGTAAGCAGAGGGCACATGATACCTTCATCATTAGCAAGGAGGATGGGAAAGGGATGGCTTCCCCTTTAGCAGGTGACAGGTTATGAAGTAAAACCTGAGAGTCCCTCTGTCTCTTGTCCTTTTTCTACTTCACTATGGCTGGATGCACAGTGGAGCGAGTAGGAACCCAGGCCTTAGCCTCCCAGTTCTAAGCCTTAAAAATGAAGGTTGAGGATGCTGGGAGTAACTGGGGATTCTTCTCATGCCAGGATGGCTAGGGCTCCCCAGGACCCAGCAAAAGGCTGAGGCTCTCTGGGAAGGGGGTCTTGGAGAGGCACACCCTTCTTGAGGTGTTCTTTGTTGGGAGTTCTCTGAGGCAGGGTGAGCTACACTTGTAGGGTGGGAGTCCAGGGGCTTCAGCCCTTTATTTCTCCTTAGGGGAGCCTGGGAGAGACAGGGCAGGGGAATGACAGCCAGAACTGGGATCCTCCTCTGGGACTGGGTGGGGTGCAGGGATCTACTCAGGATGTGGAAGAGCCCTGCTGACAGGGATGGGAGATGCAGGCCCCGGCCTCACCAGGCCGCCTGCAGCAGCGTCCAGAGCAGGCTGGCTGAGGCGCTGGCCCAGAGGGCCCCGAGGTTCCATGTGAGGCCTGAAGCTGCACTGTTGCACCGGGTGTTCTGGCAGCACGAAACGGAGAGGGCACGGCCATCCGAGGACACCGTGCTATTGGGGCAGGTAGGAGCACAAGACTTCATGACCAGCATGCCTCCAGGGTTGGCTTCAGAGAGAGAGAGAGAGAACAGGATCCATAGTGTGATGAGCCATAGGCCCGATGGCCCCCACCACCCACAAGGACCTTAGGGAGCCCCACAGCTGGGGGCACAGCCTGTTTCGGGAAGGCCTGTGACCTCAAATGCCTGTAAGAGCTTGAGGTGGGGGATTTCTGTGTGTGGCCCCAGGGTACCTGTGGGCTCCTGTCTCCCACTCTGAACAGGATAACATGATGGCTCCTTCCTCCTCCAGTATCCAGGAGCTCACTTCTCCTCTGAAGATAGACTGGTCCCCTCTCATCCCTCATCCTTCCTGTGCCTGTGAGGTCTGAGGTGGCAGTGAGCATCACTGGAGACCACACAGCTGCCTTTAGACCTTGATTCCCACAGGGAAAATGGAGGCAGGCCTGGCCACAGGCCCTGGGGAGCCAGGGGGATGTTCATGTGGTAGGGTCTTGGACAGTGCCCCATCTCTATGGGAGAGACACTTGGGTGTGTTGCACACAGCGGGGACAAGGAGGCTTCTGGAATGACTAAAGATGTTTTTCTTAGCCTGCTCAGTTCAGAATGTTCAGGTGTGATGGTCCTGACCTGGGGCTCTTGTTTAGCACACACGGGAAGGGAGCAGGTACTTCTATCTTGGGAAACCCAATTCCTCTGTGCCTCCGTTTTCCTGTGTAGAAATACAGCTAGCAGTGAAGCCACCTTCTGCTCTCGTTTGGGAATTCAGTGGGTACGTTCTTAGGTAGTGTTGAGAGCTGGAGGCATGAGGTGACAGTGGGGTACCCGTCAGTCATTAGCAGAGTGTATTTAGTAGTAGAGCTGAGTAGCTCAGTGACATCTGAACAGCCCTTTCCCACACATGGCAAAGCAGAGGGCTGGACTGAAGCTGGCCCTAGCCAGTGGGAGTCTGCCCACGACCAAGGAGCCGAGTCACAGGTGCCTCTAACAGGCATCTGACAGTGGTATGTCTTTACATCTTGCCCACTTGATGTTCTTAATGGAACACTGCGCTTAGAGGGTGTGCAGGCCTAGTTTAAGGAAGGAGAGTTGTTTTTCTGGATAAGATGGAAGAGGGGCAGCATTTGTAGCCCATTTCCAGAAGATCACTGGGAGACGTGGATAGGTCGGCACCCTCACCAGCCCTCACAAGCTGAGAGTTTGCAGAGAAGAGGTGCTCCTGCTCCTGCTCCTGCTCCAGCCGGAGTGGGCTTGGAGATGGCATGGTGGGCTCTGAGGAGTCGGGCTCCTGGGCCAGCTGTGGAAGGCTTGTATCAGAGGATGGCCTGTCCCCGCTGAACCCTCAGCTCCTGGCCTGGCCTTGTGAATCAGCAGGAGACACCGATACCATCTTCCAACCTTTCCCCTTCTTTAGCTGCAGGGCCAGGAGGCACCTGCTCTAACCACACACTTTGGGAAACTCACGCTACCAGGGCTCTTCTCTGTGGCACAGGGTGACTAGTAAATTGTTTCTCTGCCCATGCTAGACCACCCTGACCAAGCTTTCATCCCCACTCCCACGTTGCTCCATGAGTGTTTTCTGCTGTCCCTCTAGGGGGCACCCCAATAGTCAGCCTCTGATACCCCCATAGCCACATGGTTTGGTTAGGCCCTGACCTCTGAGGCCCTGAGAGGGCAGAGATGGCCCCAAACACCTCCATGTCTGCAGGTCCAACAGACACTTGGGGAGATGGATGAACAGACAGTGCCAGACAGATACATCAGTGGGGGCTCAAGTGGGAAGAGGGTGCATAGACTGCTGGGGCACCTGAGAGGACCGTTCACCCCTGGGATGGCACCATGGGCCATCAGGAATTCTGGCCTTGTCTGGGTATAAGAGCTGAGGCTTCATGAGTGGGGATCAGGCTGTCTTGGGGGGTCCTGGGGGACCACTACAGGGGAAGACAGTCCCTTACTCTTCTCCCAGCTTTGTCAGAGCCTTCTGCTTGGTGGTTTATTGCTCTTTGTACCCTCCGATGCCCTGAGCGGCAAAGATCCCAACTTCTCAGGTTCTGCCTTGTGCTGGGTTGCATGGCTGGGCCATGGGACCGTAACTGCTCACAGAACCAAGAGCAGCTTGGTCCTGGCAGTGCCAACCCTGCCTTTGGGTACTACCATAGAGAGTTGGTTATGCTCTAGTCCCCAGGTATGGTAGAGCAGGAGTCTCTGGGCAAGACCTTGCTCTGCCTGATGGGAGAATCCTGGAGGCAGGAGAAGAGCATATGTCACTCCATCCTGCCAGACCCCTGAACTGAGGCAACATGAAAGGCATCTGGGGACGGGCTGGCGCTGCCTGGGATCTGGGCTACACTATGAGTTTGGGGGGCCCTGCAGGATGCAGCCTCTGTAAAGTGGAATCTGCAGTCCGAGCTTGTGTGGCCTCAATAGGAAGCTGGCCCAAGGCCACACAGCAAAGCTGTCTGACTCCCTGTCTGGGGGAGCCTGGGGGAGCCTGGGGGAACCTGGGGGAGCCTGGGGAAAAGTGCCCCGTAGTCAAGAGAGCAGCTGCATTCATTGGGAGCCAGGCATCATCCTGAGAGTTGCAGCAAGCTGCAAGAGGAGAGACCACCATGTTCCTTCTGAACTCAGAGGTGACACTGCCTGCCCTGGTCCCTACCAAAGTCTGAATGATCAGCCTGCTCCTCTGCCAGCGCCATGCCAGCTTCTTCCTAGGGAGGAGGCCCTTGCTCAGTTTGGGGTCCCACCTGGTCCTGCTGTGTCCTCCTGGTCACCCTGCACCACTGCCCAGTCTTGTCTTCTGCAGCTGGGTCATCTTGTCACACTCAGGGTCCCTCTGTAGGGCACCTTCTCCCCAGGGCTACTCAAGTGCTCTGCGGGGATCCCTGTTACTGCCACCATCTTGGTCTGCAAGCCTTAGGCTCTGGCCCAACCCTCAGGCTTACAGAGAAAGCAGACTGCACAGTACAGGAGGCCAAGGAAGAATAGGGTCTGGCCTGGGGGTGCAGGCGAGGGTGCTGGCCAAAAGGCCTTTCTATTGATACTGGACCACAATGACACAGATAAGGCAGAGTTCTAGGCTCAGAAAGAGGGTACTTAGAAGTGGAGGTTACAGCTGGCTGCTGCTGGTTAAGACAGAGAGGTGGGGAGAACCAGGCTCTGGCATTGGCTGGGGGCCAGCGTCTCCCAAATCCCAACATACAAACAACTGCCCAATCTTAATTTAAACTGAACTGGAGGCTAGTGGTCTATGGGGGGCGGGGGAGGCAAGGACATTGTGGGCACCTGGCGGGGTATGAAGGGCGGTAAGGGGCCGAGATGGGGCTGGGAGCAGCTCTGTGCGGGGCAGGACAGGTGGGAGTGGCCCGGATACTCACTCGCCCGTGTGATCACACAGTACTTGTCCGTCGGGGCACACTCCACTAGAGACTCGCAGTTCTCATGGCCGCAGCACACGTGGCAGTGTAGGGCCCGGGCTGAGGGAAAGCACAGGCTATCAGTGTGGCTGGGGGTGAGGCCAAATACCCAGCCACCTGCCTCGAGGTCTGCTCAAGGTTACCTCTGTGCCTCTTCCTCTGTCCTCCTGGGAAGCTCAGAGGAGCAGAGGGGCCAGGGACTTTCTGTCCTCTCTGGGCGGGAGCCAGGATGTCTGAGAGATGATTACGCAGGGGTCTATTGCGGCAGGCTACTCTCTGGTTGGATTCACAACACTTTTGGCCTATGGCTTCCCTAGCAGCTATGGATGCACGCACACATCGGTCGCCCTGTGCTATGGCTGCTGCTGGAAGGGGGATGAGAACCCCAAAGAATCTGGTAGAGCCGTGTCAGCTAAGCCAGTGAAAGACTAGATGGATGGCTAGATCGGTGGATGGATGGTGGATGGGTAGATAAGGGTGGATGGATGGATGGACAGATGGGTGGATGGATGAATGGATAAGTGGGAGGATGGAAGAATGGGTGGGTGGACAGCTGGATGGGTGGATAAATGTGTGAGTGGATGAAGGGATAGGTAGGTGAGTGGCTACCCACATGGGCAGAGGGATGCATGACTGGCTGGTTGGATGAGTGTATGTATGTATGTATGTATGTATGTATGTATGTATGTATAGATGGGTGAGTGGATGTACAGAGGCCTGGATTAGTGGATAGATAGATAGATGGATGGAAGGATGGATGAGTGGGTGGGTGGATAGGTGGGTAAATAAGTAGATGGATGGGTAGATAGGTGGGTGAATTGGGGGAATCAATGGATGAGTAGGTCGATGGATAGGTGAGTAGATAAGTAGTTGGATGGGTAGATGGGTGGGTGTATGGGCAGACTGTTGGGTGAATGGTTGGCTGGATGGGTGGGTGGAGGGATTAATCAGGAGGCTGGTGGGGGATGGATGGGTGAGTGATTGAATAGAGTAGATAAATGACTGGATGGGTGGATGAGTGGGTAGATTGTTATATGTATGAGTTGGCATATAGGTGGATTGGTGGATGAATGAATGGATGGATAGAGGAATTATTATAATAGTTTGGTGGAGAGGTGAACGTTAGAAGGCAGAAAAATAGAGCAGCAAGATTTAACATAGGAAAGGTTGACTTCAAAGGTAACTTATGCTTCAGTTCTGTTGTTCCCTATTTGCTCCTTCTCTGAGCCACGGTGTCACCATGTATAAGGTGGGAATAATGGTAGCATGCTTGGCCCACTCAGAAAGAGAAGGATGTAATATATAATGCAAATGACTGCTGTCACCGTCTTCCTTAGAGGAGGACTTGAGGTGTTTCCAGCTCTGAGATGGTTGCCTGGAATCCAGTGGTGGGTGGGTTGCCTGACTAGGGAAGGCTGGGTCTGAGGCCCCTAAGCCCAGTAGTTCCTTATGGCTGATGAGTTGGAGGGAAATCATAGCCCCAACCTTGTGCTCCATCTGCCAGAGGCATGCTGGCAACCCCCAACCTGGGGCTGAATGCAGAGGTCATAGCACAAGGCACTAGTCCAGGCTGCTCATGGGAGAGAGCTAGGCAGCTTCTATAGATGGCTGACCCAAAGTGCTATGTGGTCAACTCTGGTCACCAACTACAAGGGCAATGACAAGGCTGCCCCTGGGAGAACACAGGCTGTCTGGGTGTGGCTGACCCCTGGACAGAGAAATTTCCATGAGTGGAATGGAGTAGACAGTGCCATGGTTAGTCTCTGGAGATACCCAGTAAGGGCCAACTTGCTTTTGACAGAAGACAGGCTAACTTTGGAAGTCTTTTCCTGGAAGGAATGGAGCAGATTGAGACCTGTCTAAGAAGAGACCAGTATGAGGCACTGCAGAGACAGAGTTAGCCTTCATGAGTAGCAAGGACTCAGAGCTGGGATCAGGCATGCTGAGGGTTAGGAAGCCATGCGTTGTGGCCTGGTGTGGAGGCTGCTGCTAGACTTGGGATGTGTGTTCTGTAAGCAGCGTCCCACAGAAGGTCCCACAGGAGGTTACCTGTGGGTGGAGGGGAGTCCCATAGAGTATCCCGTGTGGGGCATCCTGTCAGAGTGTGCTGTACCCTGTAGTGGAACCCTGTGCAAGTGTCCTCAGCGATGTGCCCTTGCTCGGACCTGAGAGGTTCAGCTGTGGAATGAGATGGTCTCATGCTGTGTGCATGGCTCTGCTGAGGCCAGCCTCCATGGCCTCTGACTGCAGAGTGTGGTGTGGAGCAGATTGTTCCTGACCTGAGGGCTACAGGCAATCAGGCTCAGATAAGCACAGTGGCATTTTGGGGGGCGAGAGCCAGGCTGTGGTTCTGGAATCCCATTTTTGGTGCCCACCCACATCTCAGTTGTCGGTCTTGTTGAGGCCAGGGAGATGACCCTAGGTCACTCAGGAAGGACTCACAAGACCTCAGTGTCCTCCCTGGGGTCTCCCTGGCTTCCTGACTTGGCATTGGTAAGCATTCCTGGGCTAGCACTAGTTACACCCTCAAGCAGTGGCCGGACCCAGTGAGTGGCATATAGTACAATCAGGGTATGGTCTCGCTCCCAGGAAGCTGAGTGTTCCAGCAAGTGCCTCTACCTCCTGATGCAGCCTCCCTCTCTCCTGAAGTTGCACCCAGGGCAGGTGAGATCAGAGTACTACCCTGGTCTGGGACCACCATTACCTTCCACTTTGTGCTCCCTGATAAGTAATGTGCCCAGCCCAAACCTGAGCACTCCCTGTCCCCTGTGGCCAGTCTTGGACCTTTGCCACATCCATCTCTCCAGCTGCCCATGTGGGCCTCCCTCCAGTTAGAGTGTTTTCCAAAGTTCCCTCCTCCCTTCCTGTCGCTTCGCCATCCCACCTACCCCACGCTCAGGGGAAGCTGATGGTGCTAATTATTCTTGGATGATAATTATTCAGCTGATAGTAATCACAGGCTATAGCACATCCCTCCTACCCCTGGCCTCCTTTCTGTCCCCTAACCAGGTCACTGGGATCACAGAGTGGGCTGGATGGAGAGAGACCCATTTATGGGTTGTGGATTGTAAGGATTCAGAGTTAGGATCAGGTCTTGCCTAGGACTTTTCATTTTGGCACTGAGTCCTATACCATAGGATCTTTTCATCCTGAGAAGAAGAGACAGCTCACCCTCTAACTGAATTCCAGGTCTCGGCAGTTCCACGTCTTAGCTCTCTTAGCTCTCTTGCCTGAAGCTTTACCTCCACAAGAGCCAGAAAGAGACTGGACACCTTGTTCAAAAGAAAGGGGACGCTAAAGGGGCCGGGGAGATGGCTCAGTAGAATAAGCCATTGCCAGGCAAATGCAAGGGCCTGAGTTCAATCCCTGATACCAAAAAGAAAGAGAGAGAGAGAGAGAGAGAGAGAGAGAGAGAGAGAGAGAGAGAGAGAGAGAGAGAGGACTCCAAATCTAGGTGGGCAAAAAGCCTCGGAAGAGGTCCCCCTCCTCAGTCTCTACAGCCCCACCCCTGGCTCTTAGCCTAGTTGACATCAACAGCCATGGCCCAAAAGCAGACACCTAGTGCCCAGGCCTGGGAAGACCCACCTGTCCCACCCCGTGTGGAGCTGCCAGTGACCTTACCCAGAACAGCACACACAGCAGCTTGAAGCAGAAGCACCAGAAGAGGCCTCATCATGGACGTCTGCTGGCAACTGGGGAGCTCCGAGAGTGAGGGCACCTTTATACAGCTGCCAGGCAGCTGGGGTCAGACTAGGTCATTTGACTGGAAGATGGGCATGGGATGGCAGGGCTGTGACTCATCCACAGGGGCCTCAGGCTCTCAGGAGGTCTGTCCCTTGGTACCATGGGGGCCCCTGTCTGCCCCTTGGTGCTGAGCCAGTGGCCTCTCCTGCAGTTAACAAGAGGCCCTGAGGTGTGCCAGAGAGAAGGAAGGCATGTTTCCTGCCCTAGGGTCAGAGGCAAGCTGCTAGAGCTCTTCTGAGGGGTACAGCCTGGCCCCTCTGTCTACTCCCAGGCAGGCAGAGAGGCGCCAAATGCAATTTAATGGGACAATGGAAGCACTAAGGGCTAGAATGTGGCTTTGGGTCAACATCTCTTCATCTTCAGCTCGCACTGACACTTGGGGACCTGATTAAACTTCTGCTTCTGACTTGGGGGCCCAGACAGGGCTGAGACTGCATTCTTGGGAGCCCCTGAGCTCAGTGTGCTGTGGACTACAACCCACAGAAGCAGACCTGTGGGAGAACTCTGTTGCACACAACAGCCCTGTCCACCCTGGCTCCCAGCAGGGAGACTATGCCATGGCCAGGTGTCTGGGGACACAGGAGATGGCTTGTGTTTCTGTTGATCTGTCAAGTCTCACTGGGCTCTCAGAGGCAAGTGGCAGAGGCTCACACCTCCTGGCTTCCCCTCCCTCCTCTCCACGGGCCTCCCATCCCCAGGCCTACCTTGTCTCCCTGGCCTCCCTCCCTCCCTTTTGGCCTCGCATGTCCCTCTGGAAGCGCCTCCTGTGTAGGTGCCTCCCGTCCACCCCGCATACACATGTTTCTTTAGAAGCCTTAGCCCCTGCTCTTGCCTGTGCCCAAGAGGTGCTTGGGCCCCTTTGCAGGTCCCCTGAAGGGCCCTAGGGTGGAGGCTGGGACAGGGACCACAGCGGTTGCTCTGGGGCTGTGAGGTCTCTGAGGAGTCCAGATCTAAACTCACGCCAGGTGTTCCTAGGAGGTGAATCGTATCTGTGTTAGCCATATATTATTTTTACTGTTTCTTAGATTCTTTTAGGGCTTGTGTAGCTGTGGACATATGCTGTCTGGTGCCCTATTGTCTTCAGCCCTCAGATGACGGGGGGGGGGGGCAGCCCTCATTAAGACCCCAACATGGGGCACTGCGAAGAGCTGCGAGGACCCAGGCTCTGGTTACCTCCCCAAGCACAGGGCGTCTGGGGGCCCATGGGTAAGGGCTGGCTGGCTACCTGAGGTACTCCACCACATGTGCTCTGTTTGCCCTGTTCGTCCTCTCTGCCCACTGAGTGTGGGGCCTGCTCGCTGTAGGTATGACAGCAAGTGAGCCCTGTGCCCTTGCTAGTTTTCTGAGAGCCCTGCTGTGCACAGCCTCGAGCTGGCTCAGGCTGAGTCCTGGACTTGGGACCTGGGCAGCTCCCCAGAAACAGCCCTAGCCTTTGGCCCAGGCCTGAGAGTCTCCTGGGCAGAGAGTGTGTGATGGCCAGGTACCATGGGGTACCTGATACAGTCCCAGAAAGAAGAGAATGAGACCCCAACTAAGCCCCCAGGCTTGGCATCTCCTGCCAGAGGACAAGAGTGGTTCCCCAGGAACGGGCGGCATCTACAAGATGCCACTGCCACTTTGGGTGGTGGGACTGTGCTACACCTCCTTCCCCTGTCCCTGCCCAGACCCAGGCCCTGACCTGCTACTTGCCCTCCCCTTTCCAGTGCCCATGGAACCCACCAGGGGATTCTGGGAGGGTGAGAGAGCTGTGCGGTGGTGGTTGGGGACAAGAGCTCCTGACTGGGTGCCTCTGCCCTAGGCAGTGAACCCCTGAGTGCTGGGCTAGAGATCCTTGGCAACATGGGGTGCAGGACAAGGGGCTTGGAGGTGTGGGGTGTATATGTGATAGCGCCCCGGTAACGGAGTCAATGATAGTCAGATGACAGCAAGGGCCATGGGGCAGTCCAGCTGTGACAGGGGCCAGTGGCCATCTCCTGAAGAAGGTACTGGGGAGATTGTGTGAGGAAGCATGAAAAGAATTTGGAAAACAGAAGTTGAGCCAACGCAACAGGGTGACTCAGGGCTGGAGGAGTTCTGAAAGTTGTACTGGCGACATTACTGGATCTCACCCCATGCAGGCGGCAGTTCTGTGTTCTCAAGGATTTGCAAGACCCCTGAGGAGGCAATTGAGAAATTCTAACTCATTGATTTCAAGGGGCCTTTTAGGGACAAAGCTTCTGCAGCCTCTGTGGGGCAGGGTGCTGCCTTGGTGCCCAGGGGAAGCAAAAGCCAAAGGCAAGAACTGCCAGGGCAGGGCCAGGGTGACCACTCCCCATTGGCCTCATCAGCTATCAGAAAAGCACTTTTATAAGCTGGGTGTATGCCAGGTACAGCCCAACCTCTCTCGAAGCTATAATTAACTCACAGCCTCTTCAGGCTGACATCAGATCCCCTCCCAGAGCATCAGCGAGACAGGGCTTTGTGACCCAGAGCCCTACAGGGCTGGCAGGCTTGGTGGGCACAGGTGAGGCTTTGAGCTGGGAGCCAGCCAGGCTCCACCACTGGGAAGGATCCTAGAGGCAGCGAGGGGTCCCAGAGATGGGACCTGCCCTGCCGAGGCTCTGCCTCCCTCCCAAGCACCACCCAGCTTTCTTTCTCCCTTCTGTGCTGGGGGCTGAGCTAGAAGCATGGGCAGGAGATGCCCCTGCGCCACTCTGCTGGGGAGGGCAAAGTGTTCCCTGTCACCCCGTTTGCTGAGACTGGCACCAGACCATTCTTGGGGGCTCAAGCCCCTTATAAAGACAGTGGGGTATTTATATGCCACCTAGGCGCAGCTTCAGCGCCCTTCAAGTCCTCTCTCCACTGCTATAATATTCAATAGCATGCACACACTGTGTGAATACAAGAACCAAAGTAAGTGCCTGTTCAGTTCAGATGCGTTTTCCCCAAATATTTTTGGACTGTAGGATCAGGTTTGTAAGGTCGGTAGATGTAGAACCCACAGAGGAAGAGGGCTGACTGGACTTTTGTATTACTTCTTACATTGTATGTTTTGAAATAGTTGGGATTGAGCCCAGGGGCACTTACCATTAAATTATATGCCCAATCCTTTTTTATTTTTTATTTTGAGATAGGGTCTCTCACTGTGTCATCTAGATTGGCTTTGAACTTTTGGTCCTCCTGCTATAGTCTCCCTTTAGCTGGCATTACAGGTGTGTACCACTATGTCGGGCTGTATTTTATAAACAGCAGCTCCAGGAAACTGAGCCTAGGCGAGGGTGCAGGAGAACTTCAACCAGGCCGTCAATTCAAGCCCCTTGATTAGCAGGCAGATGCTGGAAAGGGGGTGTATCTGGGAACTAGGACAGGTGGGCCTGAGGGCTCCTGTGCCCAGTGGAAGACCCCTGCGCCAGGGATAGCAGAGGTTAGTCAGGAGAGACCAGGACGCAGCCACACACCTGGACCGGAGCCCACACGGTGAGATGCAGTGCCTGCCCCCACCTCAGCAGTCTACGCTGGTCGTCTGAAGGATTGTGGTAACATTTACCAACTACCACCAGAGGTCGCTGTGGAACGAGACAGCGGGCCCAAAATCTGGCCAAGTATCCTCCTGCCTGCCCAGCACCCTGGGCTCTGACGCTCTTTAAGGGTGAGGGCTCCTTGGGAAAATGCTGGCTTTAGGTAAGCGACAAGACCATTGTGTCGTGAGCCGGAAGTGCTTTTCACTAAAACTCCTCTATCCAGGACTAATTCACATGCACACAACTCAGCCATTTAAAGCATGCAACTGTCATTTTTCCTATATTCTCAGAGACATGCAGTGATCAGTGTGACTTAATTTTGGAATTTTTTATTTCCCCCAAAAGAAGTGCTGCCCTGCTAACAGTCACTCCCCACTGCCCCTCCTCCAGCCCCTGGAAACTGCTAACCATCTGCATCCCTCTGGATACACCTGCTCTGGACCTTGCACAGTGGTGGAATCTAACAAGGCAAGGTCCCCGGCTCCCCAGGCCGCAGCATGTGCCAGAGCCTCCTTCCCAGCTGTGCGGAAGCAGCACCCCATCATTTGGCTGGGCCACATGCTGAGGGCAGGGTGAGAATTTGAGTCATGGGACACAGTGGGGGACCAGGAAAGAAGACCATGATAAAAATAAAACCAAAAACATGGGGTTGGTTAAAGGCACATATGGCCAGGACGGGGCCAAGCTAGGGAGCAGAGTAAATGGTAGCACTGTACTGGATTATAATTCATGAGTCGAGCAGGTGTGAGTCCATAATGATAGAAGTAAATGACTGCAGGAAGAAATAAACGAAGGGGAGGCACAAATCTGTCCATGAGAATTCCAATACTTTATGTATATTATGCAGGTGTCTGCCCTCAAGGAGATGGAGTTCAATCCCTGTTCCTTAGCTGTGGCTGCTCTGGGGAGCTTCCTTCCAGGAAGCCCAGCCTGGGAAAGGGCGAGTGGGGAGAACATACTGGGAGAAGCCTGGCAGGTCCTGTGTCCTCCAGGGGATCAAGCCCAGCATCCAAGTGCCCAGTCAGAGTGTGGCCCTCAGCTAGGAGTGATGAGATCAGCCCCTTCCCACTCTCCGGTCTTCTCAAACACCGCTTCCACCTACCCACACTAAGAGACACTCTGCAAACAGTGGACCAGTAGCGGTGGTGGCAGGGGCACATGAACCAGGGAGAACCTGGGCAATGGTCACCGTGGAGAGGGAGCTAAGGACACATGGCGACCAAGAGCCATGTGGGGTCCCCATGGGGAGCAGAATAAGGATGTTAGGGAAAAACAAAGGAAGTCAGAACGAAATGGGGCCTTTAGGGCTGGGGAGATAGCCCGGTGGTGTAAGCACCTGCCTGGCAAGCACAAGGACCTGGGTTTGATCCCTGGCACCACACGCCATGCTGGCCCTGGAACCCCACGTGTGCTGAGCTGGCCACTGAGACTGGGCGT